TTTTTTTGTGTGGTAGGCTCTTAATTGCTGCCTCGACTTCTGACCTTGTTATTGGTCTATTCATAGTTTCAGCTTCCTCCTGGTTTAGGCTTGGGAGGACACAGGAGTCCAGGAACTTATCCATTTCTTTCAGGTTTACTAATTTATGTGCATACAGTTGTTTGTAATATTCTCTGATGATGGTTTGAATTTCTATGAAATCTGTGGTGATTTCCCCTTTATCATTTTTTATTGCATCTATTTGGTTGTTCTCTCTTTTCTTTTTAATCAATCTGGCTAGTGGTCTGTCTATTTTGTTGATCTTTTAAAAAAAACAGCTCTTGGATTTATTGATTTTTTGAAGGGTTTTTCGTGTCTCAATCTCCTTCAGTTCAGCTCTGATCTTAGTTATTTCTTGTCTTCTGCTGGGTTTTGATTTTTTTTGATCTTGCTCCTCTAGCTCTTTCAATTTTGACGATAGGGTGTCAATTTTGGATCTCTCCATTCTCCTCATATGGGCACTTATTGCTATATACTTTCCTCTAGAGACTGCTTTAAATGTGTCCCAGAGGTTCTGGCATGTTGTGTCTTCGTTCTCATTGGTTTCGAAGAACTTCTTTATTTCTGACTTCATTTCATTGTTTACCCAGTCAACATTCAAGAGCCAGTTGTTCAGTTTCCATGAAGCTGTGCGGTTCTGGGTTGGTTTCTGTATTCTGAGTTCTAACTCGATTGCACTATGGTCTGAGAGACTGTTTGTTACGATTTCAGTTGTTTTGCATTTGTTGAGCAGTGCTTTACTTCCAATTATGTAGTCAATTTTTGAGTAGGTGTGATGTGGTGCTGAGAAGAAAGTATATTCTGTGGATTTGGGGTGGAGAGTTCTGTAAATGTCTATCAGGTTTGCTTGCTCCAGGTCTGAGTTCAAGCCCTGGATATCCTTGTTGATTTTCTGTCTGGTTGATCTGTCTAATATTGACAGTGGAGTGTTAAAGTCTCCCACTATTATTGTGTGGGAGTCTAAGTCTCTTTGTAAGTCATTAAGAACTTGTCTTATGTATCTGGGTGCTCCTGCATTGGGTCCATATATGTTTAGGATCGTTACCTCTTCTTGTTTTATCAATCCTTTTACCATTATGTAATGGCCTTCTTTGTCTCTTTTGATCTTTGTTGCTTTAAAGTCTATTTTATTGGAGATGAGAATTGCAACTCCTGCTTTTTTTTGCTCTCCATTTGCTTGGTAAATCTTCCTCCATCCCTTTATTTTGAGCCTTTGTGTATCCTGTGAGATGGGTTTCCTGGATACAGCACACTGATGGGTTTTGGATTTTTATCCAATTTGCCAGTCTGTGTCTTTTGGTTGGTGCATTTAGTCCATTTACATTTAGGGTTAATATTGTTATGTGTGAATTTGATACTGCCATTTTGATGCTAAGTGGCTGTTTTGCCTGTTAGTTGTTGTAGATTCTTCATTATGTTGATGCTCTTTAGCATTTAGTGTGATTTTGGAATGACTGGTACTGGTTGTTCCTTTCCATGTGTAGTGCCTCTTTTAGGAGCTCTTATAACACAGGCCTGGTGGTGACAAAATCTCTGAGTACTTGCTTGTTCGCAAAGGATTTTATTTTCCCTTCACTTCTGAAGCTCAGTTTGGCTGGATATGAAATTCTGGGTTGAAAGTTCTTTTCTTTAAGAATGTTGAATATTGGCCCCCACTCTCTTCTGGCTTGTAGTGTTTCTGCCGAGAGATCTGCTGTGAGTCTGATGGGCTTCCCTTTGTGGGTAACTCGACCTTTCTCTCTGGCTGCCCTTAGTATTTTCTCCTTTATTTCAACCTTGTTGAATCTGACGATTATGTGCCTTGGGGTTGCTCTTCTTGCAGAATATCTTTGTGGTGTTCTCTGTATTTCCTGCATTTGAGTGTTGGCCTGTCTTGCTAGGTGGGGGAAGTTTTCCTGGATGATGTCCTGAAGAGTATTTTCCAGCTTGGATTCATTCTCTTCGTCCCCTTCTGGTACACGTATCAAACGTAGGTTAGGTCTTTTCACATAGTCCCACATTTCTTGGAGACTTTGTTCATTCCTTTTTGCACTTTTTTCTCTAATCTTGGTTTCTCGTTTAATTTCATTGAGTTGGTCTTCGACTTCAGATATTCTTTCTTCTGCTTGGTCAATTCGGCTATTGAATCTTGTGCATGCTTCGCGAAGTTCTCATATTGTGTTTTTCAGCTCCTTTAATTCATTCATATTCCTCTCTAAGTTATCCATTCTTGTTATCATTTCCTCATATCTTTTTTTAAGTTCCTTAGTTTCTTTGCATTGATTTAATACATGTTCTTTTAGCTCACAAAAGTTTCTCATTATCCACCTTCTGAAGTCTAATTCCATCATTTCGTCACAGTCATTCTCCATCCAGCTTTGTTCCCTTGCTGGTGAGGAGTTTTGGTCCTTTCTAGGAGGCGAGGTGTTCTGGTTTTGGGTGTTTTCCTCTTTTTTTCGCTGGTTTCTTCCCATCTTTGTGGGTTTATCCGCTTGTCGTCTGCGTAGTTGCTGACTTTTCGATTGAGTCTCTGAGTGGACACCCAGATTGTTGATGATGAAGTATTTCTGTTACTTGGTTTTTCTTCTACCAGTCTAGTTCCTTCACTGTACGACTGCTGAGTTCCACTCCAGGCCCTGCTTGTCTGGGGTGCACCTCTAGCAGCTGTGGCACAGTGAGGGATGCTACCCGTTTCTTTTTCTGCTATCTTTGTCCCCGGATGATGGCTGCCAAATGTCAGTCTTTTGGATATAGAGGGGTCAGGGAGCTACTTGAGGAGACAGTCTGTACTTTTTAGGAGCGCAATTGCTGAGCTGTGAGCTCTGTTGTTCATTCAGGGCTGTTAGGCTGCTATGTTTGATTCTGCTGCAACAGAGCTCATTAAAAAAATTCTTTTTTTCTCAAATGCTCTGTGTTGGGGGGTTCGGGCTTTATTTTTTGATGTCTGTTGAGGTGTCCTGCCCAGTCTCTTCGTTGTAGCGTGTTGCCGCGGCAACGGCAGGCTGTGTCAGCAGTGGGTGTGTATCTCAGTAGGGACGGGTTGCCTCGGCAACAGGAGGCTGCGTCAGCAGTGGGCGTGTATCTCAGTTGGGGTGGGTTGCCTCGGTAGTGGTGGATGCCCCTCCCCCACAGAGCGTCTCGGACCGTCTGCTCGGGATAGTTTGAAATCGCGGTTTTGTTTGTCCCACTGGGTACCCCAAACGCACTGTCCCTGCAATCCCCTGGGCTGGCCTACGGTCCAAGTCTCGTTCAATCTCAAGTCTAGCCCTCTCAAGTCTCAGGTTGCCGGTTCAACAGGGCACCCGGACAAGTGCGCCCTGTGGGGATTGCTGGGTAGGGCCGGCCGCCGCCACCCCGGCTGCCGGCTTCGCCAGGCAGACCTACTGCCTGGCGTCCCGTGTCTTTTTTATACTTGGGAGTTTCCCCGTTCTGTGGGCAACAAAGATCAGTCTGGAAATGCAGCTCAGATTCACCTCTTTGCAGATTCAACGAGAGCTCCAATCCTAGGTTGTTCTCACAGCGCCATCTTGAGTTCCCCCCCTTCCTCCTCTTCTTTACCCCTTGCATTAGTGAGATGTCAAGGAGCATAATTAAACTTGTCAATTTGTGGGGCATATGATCTTGATAAACAGGATAAAGGGAGAAAGTAGACCTTCCTAGTGAACAGAATAAATGAAAACAAGAAGCCAAGTGTTACCTAAGTCAGGATCAGTGGCTCAAGGAGCAAAACAAGACTGTGTAGAAGAAAAAAAATATATATACACACACACACACACACACACACACATATACATCTCCATAATATATATAATAGATATGTGTAATTTTATATATGTATATAATGAATAGGGATATCCATATCTAGCTATGGGTATTTATATATTTATATCCATAGGTAGATCAAGGCCAGGCCAAGGAAGTCATTGAAAACAACTAGAGGTAGGTATTTCATGACTGAGGAAATAGAGCAGGGTAAAAACGAGTTTGGAAAAACTCTAAAGATTTTGTGTGATTTAGACCATAAAGTGATAGAGTATAAATTTGGTGTAAGTAGTAAACATGGAGAACAACAAAGAAGCTGATGAGTATGTTAAAGAAAAAATATCAAAGGAAGAATTGAAAACAGATGGTCTAGTGTGAGAGATTAAAAAGACAGTTATAAATACTGGGATACTTGTTCTAGTTAGAAAGAAGACCAGTTAGGAGGCGTGGAGATATCAGTTTCTGATACATTGCATTTGTGAAGGTAGAGGAATATGTAATTGGAACAACCCCAAGGTCATTTAGAGATCTATTATTAGCTCACATTCACTTAAAAACTGGAGGTACACATTTAGAATACTATCTACTTGGTATACATTTAGAATACTATCTACTTGGTTTGATAACTACTCCACGGAGTAATTAAGCCCACTGAGGAAGGAAAGAACAACAAGAAATCAAAGATAAAACCTTGAAAGGATTTATGTTTGCCTAAGTAGAGATAGGTCAGATATTTTGAAAAAAATAGGAATGAGTGAAAGTATGACGTAAACTAATGAAATAGAGCATGTCAAGGGGATGGTCAAGAGGAAAACACACACAAACACAAAGAGTTCAAGAAAGGTGAGGACTGAAAAGACTTGTGAGCAAACATAGTTTTGCATGCCTGTAATCCCAACATTTTGGGAGGTTGAGGCAGGAGGATAACTTAAGCCCAGGAGGCCAAGGCTATGATCGTGCCATTGCACTGCAGCCTGGGTGACAGAGCAAGACCCTGTCTCTAAAGGCAAAACAAATCTTGGGAGATGATAAGGTTATTGTTCACAGTACAGTTTTGGTTGAGTGCTAGGATACGAACTAGACTTCCCCAGACCTGCCTTAGTATAGCTTTTTACCCCTACTGTAATAATATCTATTAACATATATTTTTAATTCTCTTATTGGTGTTTATTCCTTTATTTTCATATTTTTGTTCTTTTTGTTTAACTCTCTCCATCTAGGAATTTATCTTATTTTGCTACACAAAGTAGCCCATCTGCTGTCATTTTGAACCTGTGGGAAGCTCGTCATCAGCAGGATGGTGACCTTGACTCCCTAGCCTGTGCCCTTGAAGAGATTGGGAGGACACACACGAAACTCTCAAACATTTCAGAATCCCAGCTTGATGAAGCCGACTTCAACTACAGCAGGCAAAATGGACTCTAGTCCACTTCCTCCCATGAAACAGAGTGATGGCCAGCTTGGGGACATTTGCTTTAAATGGGAAAGAAAGAGGCCGCTTTCTGCCCAGTGGCATTGGGGAAATTCAGCCTTCATTTACAATCAGTTAGATTCCCTGGGTGAAGAAACTAAATTTTTTATACAGGTAAAACATGTTAATAGGAAAAAGTACAAGCTCTCGTACATATATGAGGGCTCTACTGTCTCCTTGGAATCCACATTTGGGTTAATTCCTCAGATTTGGAGTGGCAAGGATAAAAGTGAGGGCAGAAGTAGTTGTGGAAAAAGATGGGCTACAATAATGCTGGGAAGGCAGTTTTAAGACAGGTTTTAAATGATGTGCCCCAAAGAGCCAGCTGATTCTGGTGGTAGACTGTCAGTTTTCTACCAACTGGCATCTGTGATATCAAAAATCATTGTAAAATTGTCCTTTAGAAGTGAAACAGGTTGCCAACACATATGTGTGACTTCATCAACGTCAAGGAGGGCATTCAGAATTTAGAATCTGAGCACATCATACCAGCACCAGCTCCCTTCTCTTCTAGCCACTTAATGGAGACACAATGGAGAGGTAAGACAGACCACAAACTAGAGTACTCCACCTTTTTATTTCTTCCTGAGACAAATGTACCCTTATTCTTTCTCCCTCTGCCTTAGCCCTTGCAGTAGAGAGATATCAAGGAGCATCATTAAAAAACTTGTCAATATGGAAAGTTGTTTTTGCTAACCCAACAAAGTAGGACCATCTCTGTTCCCATCTAAGCCACTCAAATTGCTGAGTGCTATTAGAACACAGCTTATTACATAGATATGGAGACAGGAGAGATTAAAGCAGGCTCAAAAACACATGAACTGCAGATGTCATAGGCCTCAAATCAGCTATAATTATAGGAGGCATGTATTGATCTAGTTCTCTAACATTGTCATTACAAGAAAATGGGTTTTACTGTATTTTTCAATCCAGATTATTGATATTGTGTAATGTGTTGGTACTATGTCATCACATAATCTCTCAGTAAGACTATATGTGATCCTCATTTTGCCTCTTGGGAAATTAGCAGTCTTTGCTCAAAACAATATTTGAGTAAATATACTTGAGGAATACCTCTACCACAGTGTCCCTGAAACCACATGCATTGTTTAGGTAGCCTTCACGCTGTGACTATTCAGTCCCCTGAATATGCTTTTCCCTATAGAAAGCATATTCAGAGAGGCTGAATAGTCTATTGCTCTATGATTTTTTTTTTTTTACATCAGGAGGCACTGATATCATGGAGGATTGAAATCCACATATAATTCATGATCCTCATCTTATCACTTTACTTCGTCTTTTTATCCTATTAAATCATTTTTGACAAGATGTCCTGGTAGACTAAAGATGAACAGATTTGCTCTTGTTCATCTTCTGGTGGATATTGTAATTCGCTTTCCACAATCAGGACAGCCAAAGTCAAGGACCCAGATGAACCACAAGACAGCTAGTCAGCTACTTTGAGGTTGGTTACATTAGAATAAAAAGTGGTCAGGGAATGGGGGAGGTAGGGAGTACTTGGCAGTTGGGATATGATCCATATTTTTCAACAACATTTTTGTAGAGCCCTTGTAAAAAAAAATAATTTTGCGAATCTCCACGCAAGTGAAAAAGGCCTAAAGACGAGTTGAATTTATGATACCATGGATAAGGCATGGAAGAACTCTTGAATGTGTTGGCCATTTTCTCTAACTAATGTGTGGTATATGTGGTCCCCTGTATTAGATAGAAGGCTTTGCTACATGTAATTCAAAAGCATCACGCTTTTCTCAGGAACCAAAGGCTTATGATGTAGAACAAAGAAATCATCTTAGAACTGTCAAGCATATTTTCACAATACCATGTCAAGATCAGGAAAACATCATTTTGCTAGTTTGCTTAACTTATTTGTTTCTTATAGGAAACAATAGAGAAACAGAATGAAAATGTAAATCATCTGACATCATTGATATAATTTCTGAAAGAGAAAGAGAGAGAAGTAGATGGTCAACCAGTCACAATAAGCTAAAGTTGGTTGGAGTGGGATGGCATGCAGAAGAAATATGCATTAATTGCTGAGCAAAAACTTGTAGAAAGCACATTATAGAGGTTGTGTTAGAATCCATCTTGGAGGACTGTTGTTTTATATCATCCTAAGCATTTTCCTTCTTCCCTTCTAACTGACATTATAATTGTTTCATCTGTTCTGTGAATCCACACAGGTCTTTAGATGTTTGATATGTTTTAAATATTTTTAAACAGATGAAAATTCTAAATGATTTTCCCTCCAATCTGTCTAGATTGTTTTAAGATGAGATGAGACTGTTGTCACTCCTGAATCTGGAGTTCCCTCCACGGATTTTTTTCCTTTGGCCTGAGTTTTATAAACACACTTGAACATCATATCATATAGGGTAACAAAGGAAGAAGTTAACATGATTCATCTCAGACTTCAGCCTTAAGGTTCAATCAAATTCATCCTTCAGCCTGTTTTGTTCCTTCTTTATGTTTCTCTTTTATTTATTTCTGCTAGGATCGTACATAGGATTTCTATAGAAATGTATGAAATTCTGTGGTCACTGCATGTCAGGATTGCACAGCCCTTTTATAATGGAATTTCAAAGAGAACCTATGTTTGTGAGATTTACAGACCAAGGTGTGGGGAGGAGGTGGAATTGCAGATCAGATAAAAAGTTAGCTTACACTTGAACTTACAGTGTGACCTTTCACTGTGACCTAAATTTAGTCCTATTGTAATATTTGTTCACTACCACACAAATGCCCCTCTTCAAAGAGATTTACTTATCTGTCCAAATACTTAATTTGGAAATTTTATTGTCCTATTGCGAAACGAAGCAAAATTAAAAGTGGCCTTGAGTATTAAGTAAGTTACTTAAATTTTTTGCAAAAAATATCCCACTCAATGTCAAATCTTTCAATCCTCAAAGGCATTTAAATCTAATAGTCATACTTTAAATATAGCTTTAAATTATGCCACCAAAATGGTGCACTTCACAGCTTCACCAGACTGTAAGCGTCATAAAGTTAATTTACAGTTTTTACAACATTGCTTGTACAGTCTTACTGGTTTACATTAAAATCCTTTAAGCCAAAGGAAGCTTGCTCTATGGATTTAAATGCAAACTTCATTTACCAGTGCAAGAAGTCTCATAAAACCAGATGTACTTCCACAAAAATTTTATTGCCCTTTTTGTAAGAGATGAAAAAGAATTGACACAGTTCTCTTTAAAGAGGACTTTTCTTCTCCTTATTTTTATCTCCAACTGCAGGTGGTGTCTTCTGCCGAGGTCTCTATATTTTTCTTTCAGTTGTCTTTGGGAGGGGATATTAAGTCAAATCACTAAAACAGGGTTCTCTTTGGATTAAAAGTTCTGAATTTATTGTAACTATTTTCCTTGACAAACATTCTCAGTATTAGGATTGATAAGCAAATACAAATATTAAAACAGGATCATTGGTTTAGATAGCGTTTTCTATTTGCCAAACTTCTGGCAAACATACTTGCGAATTTCAAAATGTTATAAAAATCTCTTGATATGCTTTTGTTTTTTTCTTTTAGCCATTTTCTCTTCAATTTTTTAGTCCTTCTGCCCTCTGTAAATGTGTTGAGTGATATAGCTATCAGATGTGTTGAAGGCAAAGTTCTCGCAGAGGTCTTTGTTCCAGCTCTGTAGAGATCACAGGAATCATGAAGGAGCGGAGAAATCTTCCACTCTGGCCTACTGTGTGTGGCCCGTTGTCATTGTTTCCTCATGAAACACTGCAGAGTTTGAATCCTCAGTAGCCCTCATTGACTGGACTAGAGGTGATGGCCACAGCAAATGGGAGAGCAAAATGTTGGCCTACGGGGGATGACACAATTGTATTCGCCTTTGGTGTTACTTGCCATAGCACTGTATTTGAAAATCGATGCTTTAGCAAAAAGCTGAATGGCCACCATTTCCGTACTTTCCACCGTTTTGTCTGCATAGTATTTTCCTGAACTACAAGCAAAAATGTATTTTGTCCAATGTCACAAAAGTGAAAATGTTACTAATCTTAGACGTGTTGCATATTTTGTGTTTTTACCTTCCAAACTATTCCGAAAGCTGCCGTTACAAAGCTGTTTGGCTGTATTGACAGCATGTGGTGTTTTTGCAAAAGCAATTCTAGGAGAGCCAGTGTCTACCATGAACTCCTCGCATCCCCACTCCAGGCTCATTTGTGACATCCAAAATGGCAACTTGTACACTATAATTCTTCAAAAAATAACAGGGGATGGAAATCAGACCTGGCCGTTAGTCACTAGTGTGTAGTACCGTGATCTGAAGTAGGAAATTTAACTCGCATAGAATAATTGTGGTTTTTGAAGCAGCTATTCATTGCTTTTTCCTTTTGCTGTGAAGATCATGGATTTGGAACGTCCTCATGAGATGGACCTAAGGCAGTAACATTTAAACTTCATGTCCTAGCACCCGCCCTTCATCTGACCCAAAGACAAAAAAGGCAGTAAGCTTCATGATTACACCCAAGCATAAAAATTCCCTTCCCCATACTAATGATGAGTTCAGCAGGGCCCCATCTTATTTTTCAAAAAAGTTATAGCTTTGAATTATAGACTGTATTACTAAATTTGGTAAGATAGTTCTTTGCACTAAGGGGAATGCGTGTCAAAATACTTTCACAAAAGGCAAGTGTACAATGAAAATGCCCTTTTGTCTCCAGCTTTCGTAACCTAAAAAGTATTTCACTAATTTAAGCACTGTTTACACTCAAATCCCCAAATTGGCCAAATTATATAATTCTCTTAAATTTTAGTATCTGTAGGTGGAGATTTAACTATGGTTCTGGTGAATTGTAGAAAGGAGAGATGATATTTGAGGGGAATTTGTCAGCAAAGTATCATCCTTTATGACCCCATTACTGAAACACAGACATTACAATCAGAAATAGACCTAATAATTCCAATATCCCTCCATTAGCTAGTTCCGATGATGCTGAGAAAGAGCACACCCTGTGCCAGGTGTCAGGAACATAAGCATCAGCAGAGGGTAACTGAAAACTTTCAATCAGAAATACCCTTCAAGGCTTATCCTAGATTATATAGGTCACTCCCATTCAAATTTTTCTATACAAAGGTGGGAAAGCACTCAGAATCTGGGAACTTCCTGGTTGGAAAAACAATGTTCTCCTTTTCCAAATTGGAATAAAGACTCAGAATTACCCATTCTTCATAATCATGTCTGATTGGTACATGCACTCCAGGAAGTCTCAACCTAGAAACGTTGCCAACCTCAGCATTTAGAGGAAAACTGGCTCATTCTTCTGACCCAGACTCAAAAACATATGAGTACTTTCGTACCTCCATTTCTGCATGGATAAATTTTAAAACAGATTCATTTTGTTCTGTTTATTTTGGGAAGGTGCGTGGGGGTGTTCTTTCAAGTGATTCATATCTCAAACCCATATCACTCTCAACTTTTATTTGATGTGTTCAAAGCCAAAAATTAAAGTAAAATATAAAGCAGGGCTGAACACTTAATTTGACATGAAGCTGAAGGAGTGAGCAAGCCAGAGGAGAGAGGTTGAGTGAAGCATGGCCTTGGCTTCATACCACACTTTTTGTGCCTTGTATTATCAATGTAAATTCTGAATGTTGTATAGTAAATACTTGGATGGACTTCTTAGAAAAGGCTGCACTGGCTTCTTTTTCAGCACATGTACATATCTATAAATATATATACATATATATTTGGTAATGCCAAACAGCTGTGTTATATTGTATTGAACAAAATGGACAGTTTGGATGTTTTATGTAGAGTTTGAAAAAAAAAACTGGATGGTTACAGACTTTTCAAGATAAATGTACAGACGTAAATTACTGCATATCAGTTATTTATGAATAAAGAGTCTTTTATTGACATTTTAGGATACTACATGAGTGGCACTTTGAAATCTCGATGAGGATGAGATCTGTATACCGCCTGCCTGCTGTGTCCTAGCAGGAGTTGAAATGCTCTCTAAAGGACAGTTTTCAAATATCTGTTAACATATGGAACCAAATTTCTTGCTGAAGTCTCAAGAGTGAGGCAATTTGTGAGGCCACTGGAAGCAAGAAGACTGTCTTCTAACATCCTGACTTCAGTACGCACTCATACTTGCTTGGGATATAGTTTTATACAATCCAAGGTCATCATAGCCATTCCATAACTGGAATACTGAAATACAAATCACTTTATTCCTCAAAAATGCTTGGATTAATTTTCTAGACTGTATAGAACATTTTCTGCCCTTACGTGGGAAAATATTAATAGGTATAGTGTTGTACATTCCAAATACATGTGGCTGATTAAACACCTGTTCTAAGTGGTTTTAAAATGCTGCGAGTTTCCCCAAATTTACTCATAACTACATAGAGAACAGGTCAGAGCCAGTTGAACCAGAATGACCCACCCAAAGATGGCTTCTGGTCTATTTATTATAATTTTTTAAAAAGGTCAAAGTTGGTTTAAACCAGATTTTTTAAAAATACCATTTTCAAAGAAAGATAACATTTTTTTTCAAATTAAGTTTAAAAAGCTATGAAGTAAAATAATATATTCTCAACACTAGATTTTTGAAAACCTTTATATATATGACAGCCAGGAATGGTGGCCCATGCCTATAATCCCATCACTTTGGGAGCCCAAGGTGGGCGGATCACTCAAGGTCAGGAGTTCAAGACAAACCTGGCTAACATGGTGAAGCCTGGTTTCTACTAAAAAGAGTATAACAGCTGGCATGGTGGCACATGCCTGTAATCCCAGCTACTTGGGAGGCTAAAACAGGAAAATTGACCCGGGAGGCAGAGGTTGCAGTGAGGCAAGATCATGCCACTGCACTGCAGCCTGGATAAAAGAGTGAAACTCCATCTCAAAAAGAAAACCTTTATGTATATAATAGATCTGAAGGAGGGGAGTCTATGCCACACTTCCTAAGCCCTGTTGACGATATAATTCTTTTTCTTATGGGACTGCTAGGGACAGATAAGAATACCTACAAAGAGGCTATGCATGGTTCCAACAGTTCTTTCTGACCACTTCAAGTTAGACAGAGCTTTAATGCTACTTAAAATATATTTAATTTACTGGCCAAATGAAAATCAGTTTAAATTAACTTAAATGAGGTAAATCAGTTATAGTTATGCAAAACCAGACCCAAAATTTCAGACTTATTTGAATAGTTAGAGCAAATAAATCCAATTTGAGTTCCTCAAAATAGATTTTAACTAGAAGAATGATGTGACTAGCATAAAAATCTGGATGTGACTAGTTCATCTGGAAGAAGATATAACAGATTGGCTTGAACCTGTAATAAACTATCCAAAAAATTGAATCTTCATTTAAAAGCTGCTTTATTGAGTTAGGAACGAATTTTGAATGGATTAACTTAGTTTGCATGAATTTATGCTTGTTTTATATAGTGAACATTTGTTAGAATTGATTTTATTCTGACAGGGGTTTACTCATTCACTCAAAAAATATTTATTTAGCATTTTCTGCATGATAGCAGAGTCTGGGTTCAAGTCCTGACTCTATCATTTTGCACTTGATGTCAGACAAGATACTTAATATTTCTGCCACTTTTATGATAGGGATAAGAACAGAATTGTATTTTTCCCCTAAGTCCAAAGATTAAATGAAAAGGTTCATGTAAAGCCAATGGCACATTCCCTGGTTCTTAGTAAATAGTCAGTGAGGGTTCACTTTCATCTTATTTTAGAGAGGTGATATGCATAGTAGTTAGCAGAATGAGTTTGAGAGCAGACAAGCTTGGACGGGAAGCCTGAGTCTGTCCCACTTTGGGATTTGTGACCTCGGCCAAGAGACTGTCTCTGAAAGAGGATAATCATATCTAGTTCACAGGTCATAAAGTAAGTGTTCAGGAACTGTTTCAACCATAAACACTTCTACAACTGGTTTCTGACTAATTGTCCTTCTGAACAGAAACATCCTGGAGCATTCATTATGTAGACATAGCGAGATTACAGCAAGACCAATAATGTTCTCAATGTTAGCATGTTTCTTAAACTTAAAATTTAAGGAAAAAAAAACATGCCTTGCTGACCTGAATTAAGTGAAATGCAACTTATTTTCTAATATAAAGGTTAATGCTTCATACAGTGAGTTAAAAAAATAATAAGGTCCCATATTTTCATACCACATAGGATGATTTTAGGAAATTTGATGAGGCAAATGCATGCTTAAAGAGTATCTAAGGGAAAACACATTTTGTCTAAATGATAGTGTTCCTACATAAAGTAAGTGCTCCACCAATGAGACAATCCATTCTCTGGTTTTCAGATGACACCAGAGCTTTAAAACCATGAGCATTTGCACAAATCAAACATTAAAGAGTTATGCAAATGCTCTCATCTGCTATGCGCTAGTCCTCTCTGCTACAATCAGGCATTCCCAATTAAGTCATTGACCCAGCCTTCAAGAAGCTCACTATCTCCAACTCAAGAGATTATACCATCCAACAAAAAGTGTGAGAAAAAAAGGGAAGCACAATTGTTAAGAGAAAACAAAGGAGGAACACTGAAACCAGGTTGTTTTGTGTGAGGGAAAGTTACATGGAGAAGCTGCCATTGAGCTAATACCTAAAGGTGGTATATTAATAAAGCTACTTCTATAGTAACAGTGTATAACAAACCCTAGAATGTGTGGCTTAAAATAACACCACATATACATGTATGTGGTACGGCTGGGAGATCCTCATGACCTAAGCCTGGTATGGTTGATCTCAGCTGGACTCAAGCGTATATCTGCAATTAATTGAAAGGTTGAGGTGGGCTAGCTCTTCCAGACTAGCTCTTTCCACAACTGGGGCCTTGGTTAGGACAACAAGACTGACTACACTCTGTTCCTTGTGCCTTGTGGTCCAAGAGGCTAGGCTGGACATGTTCTCATGGTAAAGGCAGAAAAAGAGATGTGTGGAGTCTCTTGTGAAGCCTGCACTTGGAACATCATTTTTTGCAATATGCTAATGGCTAACACAACTCACAAGACCTGCCCATTCAAGGAATAAGGAAATAGAATCCACCTCTCAATGGGAATTGCTGCAAAATCACATTGCAAAGAGTGTGGACACATGAGGAGATGGAGAATTGGGGCCAAGATTTCAATTTCTCCATCAGAGATCAGTAAGAATTTGTCAGACAAAAAAAAGAGGAGCATTCAAACAGAAAGATTAACATTGACAATTAATAGGCATTTCATTTAAGAGAGGCTGCCAGACTATTTTCATGCCTCTGGTCCTTACAACCCTGAGTTCAGTAGCCCTCCTCCAACTTCTCTGCTATGTTATTAGGTGCTGATTCTATAATTAGCCATATTTAGGAAAGGATCAGTTAATTTCATTTACAGAGGTTTCTTTATTGTGTGACCTCTCAAAGGCTTTAACACAATAATGGCAGTTATTTTCAATGCAGTTGATATGCTGGACAATTTATATGAATTAACTCATTTTAATCCCCTAGCAATCATATGAAGGTGGTACAATTTTTGCTCATATTTTATAAATAGAGAAACTGAGGAAAAGAGCAGTTAATGTGCATTTGTAATCACTCAACTGCAGCTACTGTTTGGAGCATTTTCCAAATATTTATCATCACCTAACTCTTACATAATGAGCTGTAGTAACATCTCGAAGTTTACATTTTGGTGTTTATTTTCTCTAAAGATACATGAGCTAAAATGCAAGCTCTGAGCTAAATTAATTCAGTCCAGATTTTCTTCAGTTTGTTTTCTCTTCTATCCACACATTTTCTGCAATTTACAAAATTTCATCCTTCTAAACATATAAGTCCATAGCAACCTTTTTAATGTTATAATTCTTGCCTGTGAATGCTTGATTTAACCATGTTTCTCTATACCTTATTAGAAATACATTCTTAAAACTGATAAGAATTGGTTATATTTTAGCTAAACCTTTTAAAGACTACTTCTTTAAAAAGATGGCTGAAGCCTGTAATCCCAGCACTTTGGGAGGCCGAGGCGGGTGGATCACGAGGTCAAGAGATTGAGACCATCCTGGTCAATATGGTGAAATCCCGTCTCTACTAAAAATACAAAAAATTAGCTGGGCATGGTGGTGCGTGCCTGTAATCCCAGATACTCAGGAGGCTGAGGCGGGAGAATTGCTTGAACCCAGGAGTCGGAGGTTGCAGTGAGCCGAGATTGTGCCATTGCACTCCAGCCTGGGTAACAAGAGCAAAACTCCATCTCAAAAAAAAAAAAAAAAAAAAAAAAAGCTGAAGGCATGTTTATAAGCAATTAAATCACTTGTGTCATGTTATTGTAATTTTGCTCTCCCTAAGCTCAGAGCAAAATTTAATGTGCCATTTCTTTCAAAAAAGTGTTGGGTGTTCAGCCATCGATAAGATGCTGTGCAGCTAAGTGGGAAGAGCCTGGAATAGGATGAGAAGGCATGTGTTCTAATCTCAGCTATCATGCCTACCAGTGGAGTCACAATTTTTTCATATTTTGAATATCAGTTTTCACCTCTGTAAAATCAACATTATGAATATCCTACCCCAGTTCCCATATTTGGCTACAGCAGGGGTCAAATAAAATACTGTATGTGAGGGGAAAAAACCTTTGTATTGTAGTAAGGGGTATATAGGTACGTATTTAACATAATGTAAACTGCACATTGACTGTCAAAAAGTAAAAAAAAAGACTAGAAATTAATTATTTTAGACCACATTGTTAGAAGTACACATAAAAAAATTTTAAGTGACCTTGACTTGTCCCTTCATCTCCAGTCCCTAGGCTGAAGAATTTAGCTAGAATACCCAGAGAAACAGTCTCTTCTAGTATCATATCTCTAAAAATCCAAAGACTGAAAAAGATCATCAATATGCATATGTGGTTAGCCATGTCCTAAGTGA